TACTCTGTCAAATAAATATCTTTCTCTGACCTGAGTTTGAGTCCTGCCTATTACTGAGTCCAGTCGCTCTTTTGGTGTGCGGCTTGCCGTAACATAAAGGGCCATAGTAATGTTGTTATGGACCTTCAGTAATGCAGACTCAGTGCTGTGACGGGGCCTACAGCCTGACTGAAACTTATTAACAGCATACAGACAATCCAGGTGAGACTGCAACTGGGTAAGGACAAGTTTTTCCATAACCTTAGATAAAAAAGGGAAATTAGGTGAAAATTGGACAGAAGGAAGGGGTCGAGGTTGGGCTTCTTGAGAAGTGGCCTCACTATAGCATGCTTAAGGGCAGAGGGGACCGTGTCCAACCTAAGACAGCAGTTAAGAAATATGAGCAGAGTGGGCCCCACAGTGTCAATGACCTCCTTAATTATCCTGGCTGGGACAGGATCCAGGGGGTAGGAGGCAGACTTTAGCTGTAACACACATTTTTTGAGTTGAGGCAGAGAGACTGGATTAAAGGTTTCCAGAGTAAACAGTGACTGTGATACAGGTGGTATAGAAGGTGGAAGCTTGGGAATACTTTGTCTATTAGCCCAGACTTTGTCACTGAAATAACTCTGGAACTCACTATCGACAGCAACAGAGAAATTAGTTTTAACAGAACACTGTATCGAGTTAATGTATAGAAGTTAATTATTACCATGTCTCAGCATGCATTGATTACATGGCTGAAATTTCTTTGCTTCACCCAATGTAAATGTTTCTTTTGTGATAATATAAAAATGCATACATGTACAGTATATAGTGGTGCATTGTCAGTGAAGCTTTATCCTACCCTGCACAATGAATCTGGTGACCAGTGATTATTTTATTCACAAATTGTTCAAGACTGTCGACACCAGGGGTTTGTGTTTGCAATGTAAGCATGGATGTGCAGACACAAACCCCATCACCTGCATTACTTTGTAGTGCTGAATCTGATTATTTTGAGGCAAGACATGAGGTAATAAGGAACATCTTTTTGTATTATTTCAAAACAGTTGTGGGCACTAAATATGGATATAAAAGGAAAGAGTACATCATATTTCATCAGTGTTTGCATGCTGTTAGCAGTGTTTGCAGAAAAAGGTGTACAAGCTTTAAGGCAAATTTTGTCAATTAGGTAACAGGTCAATCTAAAAAAAGCAGAAGAAAAAAAATACTACTGCAGAATATATGAATGCTGCTCACATTTGTTTAGAGTGAATTATGCAATCCCTCACTGGCTTCCCACTTTCAAACACTCAAGTGCCACTATCAAGTTTCTCTAACAAAATGCCTGTTTCATGAGCAGTAATTCATGTTTAATGCACTCAAAGTAGCTTCCGGGTGCTCTGTAACTGTCATCTGAGAGATGAATAGCTCAAGCTAACACATGGTTGTGTTTCAACTGTTGAAAAAGATCATCACATGGTTGATCATACCACTTTGTAGTTGGCTGGAGACTGGCCACTAGAGAGATTTAGACTCCGCCTCTTGTCCCTCACAGAGCTGCTCTGGTTGCGGCGGATTCGCTCATTCTGCTCCTCAATGCTCATCTTTGACTTCACCTCTGCAGGAAACACAGCGCTCTTTGGACGACCCTGTGACAACAATGGGGCACAGAAACACATTTTAGCTCACGAAAGAGGTAAGTCCCAGTCCTACTGGAATTTAGCGGTGTCTTTGACACAGGTGACCAGTCAAATAGAAGAAAAAACTGAGATGGACTCTCAGGCAGAAAGGTTCAAGTCTCATTTATCTCACTTGACAACCAACATGACTTGGTGTTTTCCCAAGGTTCACTCCATGAGCTTCTGTGTGTTCATCAATGTAAATCAATTCTAAACATTCAGTCACAAGAAAAAGTAATGGCACTGTTTGCAATTTCCTGGTTTTCATACACAGTGGTGATGGACTGTTAGAAACGCTCTGGTAGGGAGGTGAGCGAGTAAAAAAATGACGGACCCAGGTAGCTGACTTCGGTGCAAGAAGTGCTCTATTTATTTACAGTGACAATACGTGTACAACCAGGTGAAGGAATATGGAGCAGAACCGGGTGTCGAGCGGCAGTCATGGAAAACATACAGTTAGTGGTGGGTTGATAAGGAAGAGGCCGGGCTGCGAACGCTAGGATTCACTCCTGGACTGGTCGTGGAGGTTGGTTGCTGAGGGGACAAAGTCAGAGTAACTGTTAATGGAAGACTGTGCATCGACCTGCGTGGTGGAGTGATGTGGAGTTGTGGAGGTCCGTGGTCCAAAGGAGCGATAACGGCTGGGAAGACAATACACGGGGCACAAGGCAGGAATGGAGCTGGGAAGAAAAGCGTGAGCAATATATATATAT